ATGTGATTGTACCTACGCTAGAGTATGCAGACGAGATATGGGAAGGTAACGAAAAGGCCGTCAAGCAGCTGGAAACGGTGCAGATGGCAGCGGCCAAGAAAATACTAGGATGTTCAAGTACAACGAGCAACACTGTATTGAGAGCAGAATTGGGAATGTACTCTCTTAAAACAAAGAGAGACATGCAGAAGTTGAATTGGCAGTACAAGGTAAGTAGAATGTCGGACGATAGACTACCAGCCATGGTTGACGAGGCAGCTTGGGGAAAAGCGACTCCAGGGAAGAAGGGAATCAGATGGGACAAGGTGGTAGAGAAGGTTTGGAAGGAGATAGGAGACGAGGAGGAGACGTTGGACACGGAAGGGTTCGGGGGGTTCAAGACGAAAGTCAAGGAGATGCTAGAGAGTAGGGAGGAGGCAACCCTTCGGAAGAAGGTACGAAGCGAAGACCACTTGGAGATATACGGGAAGTTGAAAGAAGGGATAGGGATGAAGAAGTACTTGGACGGCCCCATGGACTATGCGAAAAAGCTGAAATTGCAATTTCGAGTAGGCGATCTGGACTTGCCAGAACGGAGGAAGAGGTATACCAGCCGTAGGAGAGAGGAAGAGGAGGATAGATACACATGTCCATGTGGCAAATCGGAGGAGAGTAGACCCCACATAGTTGGGGAGTGTGAGTTGTACAGGAAGGAAAGAGAGGATCTCGAGGAGGAAATGAGACAGAGAGGGTGTGACATGGACAAGTTTGGTAAGTTAGACAACAGCGAAAAAACGATCGCGATAATTGGGGATAGATGGTGGGCACAAGAGGCCCTAGAGGACGGGGATAAGATGTGCAAGAAATTTTTAAGGAGTTTGTGGCAGAAACGTAAAGAGCTCCCAAATGTTGGTGGTGTCTCTAGTAGGTGTAGGAACGGTGCTCCGTCTCGAAAGGGACGCGTGGTCAATGGTCAAATGACTACGGCAAGCAACAAATGAGTACGCCCCCCCCCCCCCCCCCAAACCCCCGGGGAAATACCCTGAGGGAGGGCCCGCTAACGCTTCGAGCTATCAAGATGGGAGAGAAGGCACTGGGCCCTGGCCACCCTGATGTTGCTGGATGGCTCAGCGATCGGGCGGATTTGTTGCGTGCTGAGGTGGGAGCCATCAGAGCAAGCTTGTTGAGAAGCTGCAGAACGGGCCGAGATTTATGACTCAATAGTCCGGGGTGATGAGGAATGCACGACACAATGGTAGCTCCCCACTTTCATTGGCGACATGTTTGATGTTTGGTTCGCCGCCGCTTCACAACACCATCCAACTGTTGCATGTTGAGGGTGAGCTTATCAGTTGGCAGCGAGCCATATCAGAGTTTGGCACTGGATCCACAGCGAATCCAGATGCGAGCGAACGATCAGGCGTTTTTGTCGGGAGTTTGTTCTCCGCGCAAAACTGGTCATCATCACACTCTTGTCACCTTCGTCTCCCATGCTCCAGTGCAATTATGCTGAAGCAGATGCTCTGTACCTTCGAGCTATCGAGATTGGAGAAAAGACGCTAGGCCTTGAGCATCCCGATCTTGCCGCCAGGCTCAGCAACCGGGCTTCGGTGTTGAGGGCGCAGGTGAGTGGTGTGTTTCAGAGTAGTGTAGAGAAATGTGAGTGAAGTTGGTACGGTTACATTGGTTGTCTCATAACACTGTTCGTTTCCGGTTGGCTGATGTCATACGAAATCACCCCTTGTGAACATGTGAAGTCTGGTCAGGCTGAGCTACCCCATGGCTCGACTAATCCACAATAGAGTATCCACACGAATGACTAACTGCTTAACATAGGCCCGTCATTTTGTATTGTTTGTGTGTTTCTCTCTGTCATGGCGTTCACTATCGGTCCCCACTTGCCTATCCCATTCTCTCGTGATGCCTAGTGGAAGATTCCTGAGGCGATATCTCTGTCCCTTCGAGCTACCGACATTGGGGAGAAGACCCTAGGCGCTGAGCACCCCGGCCATGCTGCAATTCTCACTACTCGGGCGTGGGTGCTAGCGGCACAGGTTAGAGCCGTTAGTATTTGCCATTAAACTTTGCGTGGTTGCTCTTGAAAGTTGTTGTGGACTGTTGACCAGTCAAGCAAAGTTGAGAGAGTTTCGTGGAACTTTCGGTTGTGTCCAAGAATGTGTTTTTGAACTAATTTCATTGTTTCCGGTAGGCGACTACCTGAAAACAAGGTTAATTGATACACATGAAAAGTATGCTCAGGCCGACACAAGCGATGACCGAGTCAGAAGCTATGCAAGATTCGGCACTAGGGTGGGAGCGTCCGGATATCGTTACTCATGAGAAGTATGCTCAGGCCGACACAAGCGATGACCGAGTCAGAAGCTATGCGAGATTCGGCACTGGGGCGGGAGGGTCCGGGTATCATTGTGTCGATTTCTTCGCATGTTGCGTGAACTGTTGTTTCTCTGCAGGAGCCCCGACCAATAGTGAGAATTCAATCCGATTTGTTCACCCTCATATTCTAGGGCAAGTACGCTGAGGCGGACAGTCTCTGCCTTCGAGCCATCGACATTGGAGAGGAAACGCTAGGCCCTGACCACCCCGATCTTGCTGGATGGCTCAACGACCGGGCGGTATTGTTAGAGAAGTTGGTAAGAGCTGGCAAAGATTACCAGGAAACGTGCACTGGTAGTTGAGGTGCGGTGGCAGTATCCACTTCATTAGTTATTGGACCATTGTTAGATTTCGCACGTTGCGCGTATGTTGGTGCAGTATTTCGTTTCCGGAGGGCCACGGCCTCACAAAGCCCAGTGCTTGCAACAACGGCAAGCTCGGTGAGGCTGGGCTATAGGAGAGATTGCACTGTGTTTGGTACACCTGGGTGAGGCTCAATCGCCCAACATCAAGGGCATACATGGGCGCGCTTTCTCGTCAATAGGCTTGCCAGCCTTGACGACGACCCTAGCGTGTTTCCCCGTCATACTCCAGGGCAAGTACGCTGAAGCGGCCCCTCTCTCTTTTCTAGCTATCGATATGGCGGAGAGGACGTTGGGCCCTGACCACCCTCGTGTTTCGGTATGGCTTGGCAACCGGGCGTCCTTGCTAGAGAAGCAGGTAAGAATTTTCAGAGATGTCAAGGACGGCTCTCGTGATGTTGTGATGGATGTTGTTATAATGATTGCAGGATGTCCCGGTAGATTTAAAGAGCTGTGATGGGCTTCTCGTACGGGTCAGGCATGTGTTGGCGCAATGCATCGTGTTTGGTGAGCCAGGGCCCCAAATGTACGGCTCACCTTGGTGCTACACATTACTATGCGTGAGATCTACCCACAGTTACGGTTGAGCAGGCATGTGAAAGCGGACTTCGTGCCTGGGAAGTAGACTACGACCCAACCGCTCAACATCAAGGCCATGATTTTCAGCTGGTGTTCCTCCTCGATAGGCCTAGAGAGTGATCCGGCTGTTTCACGGTCATGTTTCAGGGAAATGATTCTGAGGCGGACCGCCTGTCCGTTCGAGCCATCGAGATTGGGGAGAAGACGCTGGGCCCTGACCACCTGCAGCTTGCCACCATGCTCGACAACCGGGCGGTATTGTTACAGAAACAGGTGAGAGCTCACAAGTATTGCCAGAAAACGTGTGACCCAAGGATGTGGGTGTACCGGTGGGATTATTCACTCCTTTACCAGGTGGACGGATCTGAGGGTTGCCGTTGGAAATGTTGTACCGTGAGCACCCCTGTGCTGGCGCGATATTTCGTTTCTGGCGAGCCACCTCAAAATGTCCAGTACTTGTAACAATGGCATGCTGTTGAGGCCGGTCCATACGGGAATGGGACGTGTCTGGAACACCTGGATGCGGCTCAATCGCTCAACAACCAGGCGTAGGCGTCGAGCGGATTTTTCTCTGAGGTAGGTTTAACTAGTCTTAACGCCGATGCTAACGCGTCATACTCCAGGGAGGGTACACGCAGGCAGATTCTCTGTACGTTCGAGCTATCCACATTGGGGAGAGGACCTTGGGCACCGACCACCCCGATTGTGCTCGATGGCTTGTCAACCGGGCATCGTTGTTAGAAAAAATGGTGAGATCTTGAAGGAATTGCCAGGAAGGCTCTGGTGATGCTCTGCCTGATGTTGTGGTGCGTGTAAGATTTCCCAGTCAATTTGGAAAACTGTGTCGGAGTCCTCGTAGGGTGCAGGCAAGTGTGGTCGCAAGGCATCGTGCTTGGTGGGCCACTGCAGCTCATCTACTTCCTAGGCATCGGTAGTACGCTGGGGCTAAGCCACACAAGCACACATGTGTTTGTGCGATATTTTGTTCGTTTCTGGCAGGCCACGACCTCACAAAGCCCAGCGCTTGGGACGATGGCAAGCACGTTGACGCTGACCCATAGTAGAGAACGCATTGTGCCTGGAACACCTAGGTGCGGTGATGTCGCTCGACAACCGGGCGAGGTTGGTTTGCCAGTCGGCCGTTGACTTGCCGTCACATTGATGCTATCGCGTTTTCCAGGGCAAGTACGCTGAGGCGGACAGCTTGTACCTCCGAGCCACCGAGATTGGAGAGGAAATGCTAGGTCCTGACCACCCCGATCTTGCTGGATGGCTCAACGACCGGGCGGTATTGTTAGAGAAGTTGGTAAGAGCTGTCAAACATTACCAGGAAACGTGTACTGGTGACCCATGTGGTTGAGGTACGATGGCAGTATCCTCTTCATTAGTTATTGGACCATTGCTAGAAATATCGCACGTTGCGCGTGTGTTGATGCGGCCTCACAAAGCCCAGTGCTTGCAACAACGGCAAGCTCGGTGACGCTGAGCTATAGGAGTGATCGCACTGTACCCTGGTACACCTGGGTGAGGCTCAATCGCCCAACATCAAGGGCATAGTTGGGCGTGCTTTCTTGTCAGTAGGCTTGACTAGCCTTGACGATTATCCTCGTCTTTTCCCGCCATACTCCAGGGCAAGTATGCTGAAGCGGACCCTCTCTCTTTTCTAGCTATCGATATGGCGGAGAGGACGTTGGGCCCTGACCACCCTCGTGTTTCGGTATGGCTTGGCAACCGGGCGTCATTGCTAGAGAAACAGGCAAGAATTTTCACAGATGCCAAGGACGCCTCTCGTGATGTTGTGATGGATGTTATAGTGGAGGACGTTCCGGCAGGATGGAAGATTGCTGTTGGAGTTTTAGTAGGGTTCACGCATGTGTTGGCGCAATGCATCGTGTTTGGTGAGCCTCGCGACAGCGTCCCACCTGCTTGCTACGCCTGTACAGTACGGTTGCCCCGAGACACTCCACAATTGGTCAGAAGCCATACACGATTCGGGGCTAGGTGTAGACCGTGCAGATATCGCCTCATGAGAGCGACCGCGCGTTTTTGTTTAAATTCGACAAACCTTGATTTGACGGTAAATTCGACAAACCTTGATTTGAATATTTTCTGGTTTGCCCTCACGCCCCAGGGCAGAGATTCTGAGGCGGACCGCCTGTACCTTCGAGCCATCGAGATTGGGGAGAAGGGGTCAGACCCTGACCACCTGCAGCTTGCGGCCATGCTCAATAACCGGGCGGTCTTCGTAGAGAACCAGGCGAGAGCTGACAGAGGATGCGATGAAATATTCACCGGTGACCTCTAGGATGTTGTCGTGCGGGTTGGGGGTATTCACTAGATGGATTGGCGGGTTTGTTTGGAACATTCGTAAGGTGCACACAAGCGTTGATGCAATACCTCGTGTCTGGTGGCCCAGTTCCTCACAACCGTCGGCACGCTGATGCTCAGCCGTAGGAAAGAAAGAACTGTGCCAGGAAAGAACGTACTGTGCCCCTGGAACTCTTGGCTGTAGCTCGATCGCTCAACGGCCGGACGTGGTTGTTGAGGGGTTGTTCCACTGCTGCAGCGTTGACCACACTCCTACGACGATTTCCCGTCATACTCCAGGGCAAGTACGCTGAGGCGGACCATTTGTACCTTCGAGCTATCGACATTGGGGAGAGGATGTTGGGCCCTGACCACCCGGACTTTGCTCTGTGGTTCGGCAACCGGGCGTCCTTGTTAGTTAAACAGGTGAGAGCTTACTGTACAGGGATGTCAAGGACGCCTCCCGCGATGTTCTGCTGGATGTTGTGAGGCTTGCAGGAAGTCCCAGTAGATTTGAAACTTGTGTTGGAGTTTTCGTTAGGTTGACGCCCGCGTTGGTGTTTGGTGAGCCACTGCCTGAAACGTGCGGCCTATATGTTTTTTTTTTTTTTTGTCTTCACTTCAAATCAGCGCTCACAGCACAAGTACCGTTTACTCCAACCCGTGGTCACACAGAAGTGCCACTCTCTACCCTCCCCTCCTGCGGTACTTTGCCTTCGATTTATAATGCGAGAAGAGTTTAGCACTCTCTTCCCTCTGTGTAAACACGAACTAGCTCTATCCTCTAGGCCAGTAGCGGAAGCGAGAGAAAAACTCACTTTGCAAGAAAAGCTCGCTTACGCCGGGATCCGAACCCCTGACCTGGCCTCTAGAAGGTTTCGAAGATACCAACTAGACGACCGGGGCGACCGGTTCAAAAAAAATATTGACCTGTCTGAGGTCGATGGGTGATAAACCCCTGGCGAGACTCGAACTCGCAATCTTCACCTTAGGAGGGTGACGCCTTATCCATTGGGCCACAGGGGCTGTGCTTGCCGGACATTGATTGCATATGTGAAGGCTAGCCACAACCACTGTTGAGGCGTTATGTGAACGCAGGAGGACCTGCGCCTGGGAATTAGACCCCGATTTATGGGAACAAAATCTTGTCAATAAATCTTGATCTTGACCAAGATCTGCCAGTTTCACGATTTATGGGAGCGAAATCTTCCGATATATCTTGGCCAAGATTTCTCGAGGCCCGAAATCTGCCCTTTCGAACAAATCTTGACCCAAGATCTGTCGAAACGAGTCTTCCGACAAATCTTGAGGCGGCGAAACAAATCTTGCCTGGGTGCGGCGCGATCACCGAAGGTCGGTCAACCTAATCGTCCATAACGCCATGAAATCTGCACGTGGCACACTCGCAAGGGTCTCAAACGCACCCTGGCGTCACTGTGTCAGCGCCACGGGCGCCGACAGCGAACGACAAAGACCAAGGCGCGCGAAAAAAATGCGTATTTGCCCTGGCTCGTTCCACGTGCGTCATCACCAGTCTGTCGAGGGACCGTTCAAAGGGTACTTTATTTTGAAGTAGAAAAATAGAGGAGGAAGAACATTTTGCCAACACAGCTCTGTCGTGTGCGACGCTTCAATCTCTTCATCGAATCACCCCACACCCAATCCCTTTGCACCTGAGCCAGATCCGTGAGTGCAGATGACAGCGCCGGAGGTTTGACCTCGTACGCCTGCTACATAGTGAGATACGTGCACGGGTGTAATCGGCTTCGGGTTGATGCACTTTCTTGTCAGTTGGACAGCAATGGAACAATTTTGTTCAGTTGGACATCAATGGAACAATTTTTGTTCTCCGCTTGATATGAGCTCGTCGGCAACGGCTTCCACTTTGCACCCCAGGTAGGCGCCCATCGCTAGTATCCACCCATAGTGTTGAAGCAGTACAGCTGGGGGAGGGACCCTCCTTCTACAACTGCGTCATGGTCACTTTTCGCCACACCTTGGCATTTTCTGTGGACCAAGTGGCCGTTGTGCCTTTATCAACTTCAAGCAGAAGAGAGGAACAACTCGCCGCTTTTTCAACATTTAACATACTTTCCCCATAAATCGCGATACTGCAAATCTTGGTGGAGATATATTGTGAGCAAATCTTGGGTCAAAATGCCAAGATATATTTGCAAGATTCTGTTTCCATAAAGAAGGGTCTAAGACCGTTCTGGAAGGACACGACCCAACCGCTCAACATCAAGGCCATGTGCGTTCATCTAGTGTTCCTTCTGAGTAGAGGCCGGCAAGCCTAGAGTCTTATCCTGCCTTTTCCCCCTCCGCTCCAGGGCAACCATCCTGAGGCGGACCGCCTGTCTCTTCGAACCATCGAGATTGGGGAGAAGGCGTTGGGCCCTGACCACCCGCAGTTTGCCACCATGCTCAACAACCGGGCGGTACTGTTAGAGAAACTGGTGAGAGCTGAAGTGTCCGAATCGTGTATTGGTAAAGCACGGATGTGTTGGACTGCGGGTGGAATTTCTCACATTTTGTTACGGATTTGAGGCGTATTGTTGGACGGTTTGGTACGCATCTGTTGGTACGACATGTCGTGTCTCGTGAGCCACGCGGCCTCACCGAGCCCAGTGCTTGCAACAATGGCGTGCTGCTGAGGCCGGGCCCTACGAGAATATGCTGTTTCTGGAGCACCTGGATGCGGCTCAATCCCTCGACAACCAGGCGTGGGTGGTGATGGGTTGTTCCACCTTAGGCTTGAGTATAAAAGCCTTAACGACCATCCCGATGGTTTATCCCGTCATACTCCAGGGCAAGTACACGGAGGCGGACTCTCTGTACGTTCGAGCTCTGAACATTGGAGAGAGGACGTTGGGCTCTGATCACCCCGAGTTTGCTGGATGGCTTGTTAACCGGGCATCTTCGTTAGGGAAACAGGTGGGACCTTGCAGTACCTTCCAGGACACCTCTCGTGATTATGCCGGATGTGATTGTGCTTGTAGGGCTTCCGGGTAGACATGAAGAATTGATTTCGAGCACTCGTAGGGTTCATGCATCGTGGGCCACTGCCTCAAATGTACAGCTCACCTGCTTCCTAGACGCCCGTAGTAACACTCTGGTGAAGCCACTCTAGCACACATTTACTGGTGCAATATTTAGTACGTTTCTGGTAGATGGCCGCCTCACAAAGCCCAATGCTTGGAGCATTGGCAAGCACATTGGGGCTGAGCAGTAGCAGAGAACACATTATGCCTGGAACACCTAGGTGCGGCGATGTCGCTCGACAACCGGGGGAGTTGTTTTTTGCGGTCGGCAGTTGACTAACCTTGACAACGATATGTTCTAGGGCAAGTACGCGGAGGCGGACAATCTGTACCTTCGAGCTATCGAGATTGGAGAGAGGTCCTTTGGCCCGGATCACCCGGATTTTGCGTTGTGGCTCGGCAATCGGACGTCGTTGTTAGAGAAAAAGGTGAGCGTTACAGAGACGTCAAAGAAGATTTTCTTGCTATTCTGGTATGTAGTTGTTGACCC